GGGAGTCTGCTTCTCCCTCTGACCCTCACCTCTCTCATGCTCTCTCTCTCTCATTCTCTCTCTCAAATAAAGAAATAAAATCTTTAAAAAAAATAAATAAAGATTCCAATCAATGACTGAGAAACACATCAAAACCCCAAAAAACCCCAGCACGGGTCCAGTGGTCACAGAAGCGCAGCCATGCTCAGCACAGCTGTGCGGAGGCTGATGACAAGGCTGCCACGGGGCAAGGCCAGGCTGGGGGAGGGGGGCTCCCCAGGAGGTGGTATTAGTGCTGGCATGGCTGCAATGAAGGGCACCCACAGCCCCGCACTGCCTTCCGGCTCCCCCTTCTCAGGGAGCCCTGCAATTCTCATCACCAGCTTGCAGTTCTACGGTTGGCCCCTTTCTCTGTTTGTTGCCGCCTTCTTGGCCAGGCCAGGGGTTCCCCGAGGGCAGGCCTGTGCCTGATGGGGTCACAACACTCAGCATCTGACATGGAGCTCAGCAACTGGGTACCGAATGGCTGAAGGTGAGTATGGGAGATACACAGGTGCTTGCCATCAGCCCCTATCCCAACTTAGTCCCCAGGTCTCCCCCTCTCCATCTCCCTCTTGATGTGGTCAGGGCTACACCCCAGGGTCCCCACAGAGCAGGGAGGCCCTAGCCAGGGCCCAGCTTCTGCTTCCCAGTTTGTGAAATGGTCCCAGCCCAGAGGAGAGATGGCAGGAAGAACACAGCTATCATTCCAGTGCCCACGGCAGGCATGAATAGTTAATCACTGTAGCAGACAAGAATAATCAATCACCACACTCAAGAAGGACAGGACGGAAACAAAAGAGAGGAAAAGGCAGAGAGAGACACAGAGAAGATCAGAGAAAAACGGGGAGAAGACCAGGAGAAGGAGGTAGAAAGGGATAAACAGGGACAGGAAACAAGCAAGCAATGCTGGGAGACCGGGCAAGAGCAGCGGGCAGGATAAGGGAGACCCTGTGACCAGAACTATCGTTTGGTGTCTGGCTGGTTGGCCTACCAGGAGTTAAGGGGGGTAGGGGCCAGCACCCTGCCAACCTCACCCCCAGATACCACGTCACCCATACCACAAGAAATGCCACGTTCTGAGCCCTGGATGCAGCCTGAGCCTCTTCATCCCAATCCAGAGGCCCCCCTCCCCCAGCCCAACTGCCAGCCACTGAGCTGCCTGGCCTGACCTTGATCGGCCCAGGGGTACACCGCCAGGTGGCAGCAGATGCACAGCTACCACCAGCCCAGCAGGCAGCTTCCCACACCCACAGTCATGTGGAATAGGGAAGAAGGAGCCAGGCCCTGTCCCTCCCTGTCCTACAGCCCCTGGCACAGAACACTGAGGTGTCTGGAGGCCTGGGGGCTCCTAGGTGTGTGGCCACTGTCTTCTCATCACACAGCATGGCACTGGCTGGGCCAGGCCGTCCACACTGGATCCTTGGGGCCACTGAGAATCCACAGGGCTGGGTTGGCCAAGCCTCCCGTAGAGACAGTGCCCGGTGGGGCAGGAGCAGATGGCTGGGTTGGGGACTGGGCACCCATACTGGAGGAACAAGAATGACCAGAGGCATTGTCTTTAGCCATCGCCACTCTATAAATGCAGCCACCGCAGCAAACTCTCACGGGCCCAGGTGCTAGCAGCACGTACTTCCCCACCACTCAGAGGGACCCAGGGGACACAGGGACCACACTGCTTCCTAGCCCTGCCATACTCCCCAGGCACCATGCCTTAGTCTCGCTGGAGGAGCGACTACCAGGTAAACCTACAAACACCGGTAACACCCAGGGCCATGGGCTAGCACATGACAGTCTGTCCCCAGCTGGTAGCTCTAGTCTCCCCCGGGCAGGAGGGACCACCTGAGCTAAGAGCCAAGCTGGGTAGGCTATGCTGACACCAGACACTGCATGGCAGGCATCCAAGTCAAGATAGGTGAAGATCAGATCCAGCCAACATCCCACTGTCAGCCCCACTGCAGGCTCATCCCCAGAGTGAGGCTGACCGGAAGCATACACCACCCTGGGCCATCCCTCTGTCAGCCACACCTGCCAGGCCCACCGGGACACTCTTCTGTCCTATGCAAAGAGGGGGACATCCCCAGGCCAAGCCCAGGTCACTTACCTGTCTTGAGGGAGATTAGCATGTCCCAACGCCCATCCTGCCAGTCCCAGCTCCTGCAGGGAAACCACAGGGTACCTTGTGAGAGCCACCTGCTGGGCTAAGTCCCTTCTAGATGAGGCCAGACCCCTGGTGGGGCAGTGTCATCCCTGACCCTGAGGTCATCTGGTGGCACTCCTGACATGTACCCATACATTCGTGCACGTACTCTTATCCCCATTCGACTGAAACCGTGGTGTCTGCAGTTTATGTCAGACTACCACCGTCCCTTGTAAATGTTTCTACTGCTGTTGACTAGTCTTCGAAACTGTGACTGTTCAGCTGTAGACTGGTAATTTTCCAGAAGGCTGGGTGTGCTTCGTCGTGATAAACAGTACAGCAAGGAGAACTTCTGCACCAGGGTCCCACTGCCCCCCCCCAACCCTTGCCTAGCTCTGCTCCCCTCTCCGGGACCCCACTCCTGCCCTGTGCAACAGGCCATCTGCCTCTCCTGATGCTCCTTGGGGCCAGCCCAGAACCCGAGTCCCTGTTAGGCAGGAAGCCCAGCTCCCAGACCCTGGGACCAAGGGGCCAGAGTTATGGCTAGGTGTGCTTCACATGCAGGAGCTACAGGCCCCATGGGCTTCCTGTCTCAGCCCATGACCTAGAGGACACATTCCCTGTCACTTTATCTAGGCCTGCGGACCATGCTAGAAAGTGTTTACATTAATAAAAATGAAAAACAGGGTGGTGGGCACCTGGCTGGCTTGGTTCGTAGAGCATGCAACTCTCTCTTTTTTTTTTTTTAAGGTTTATTTATGTATTTGACAGAGAGAGAGAGAGGGAGAGGGAGGGAAAGAACAAGCAGGGGTAGCAGGGAGGGAGAAGCAGATGCCCTGCTGAGCAGGGAGCCCAATGTGGGGCTTGATCCCAGGACCCTGAGATCATGACCCGAGCCGAAAGCAGATGCTTAATTGACTGGGCCACCCAGGCACCCTAAAGAGCATGCAACTCTTCAAGCCCTGCGTTGGATGTAGAGATTACTTAAAAATAAAATCTTTAAAACCAGAAACCAAAGCCAGGGTGGCACAAAGAGGAGGGGAGGTCTGGGTTGCAAATGGAAAGCCATCTCTGGGGAGTCAGGGGTGATAGAAGCTCTCTCCCCTGGGCTCTACAGTGTTTTCCAGATCGTTCCTCTATCTAATCTTCCTTTGTGGATGTGGCATGTATGGGGGCCCTGAGGGTAGGCGTCCCTGCCTCCCAGCAGCACCTTCATCACAAGGAGGGGCTCTGAGTCACGGCGGGATCACAGGAAGATCAGGATGCATGGGGTCAGAGGCAGGAAAGAATAGTGGTCCGAGCTAGGCAGGTGTGCGTGTGTACACGTGTATGTACTCGAGCACACTCACTCTCGTGTGTGCCTGGGAGGGCAGTCTGGGAGGGAGCCTGCCCGCCCACTGTACCCACCCCACCCACGCACAGGAGCCACTGTTCCTACTCTGAAGTCTGAGGCTCAGGAAGCAGCTTCACTTGCAGTGTGACGTTTCTGGGACACTTCCGTTTTTGGCTTAAGTGTTCACATAGGTTTTGTCCCACAGAGAACCACATGCCTTTCTTACCAGTCTGAATAACTGCCAACCTCCCCCTCAGTGCTGGCCCTGTGCAGAGCCTCACAAGGTGAGGGCTGTGTGCCCTCGTGTCACTCTCGCTGGGTGCCTTGGATTGGCCCAACACCCCATTTTACAGATGCGTAAACTGGGTCCAGGATTTGAACTTAGGTCTTCCTGTTTCCAGCGCCCCCACCTCAGCTGGGGATATTCGGCCACAAGAACATGCTCCCTCCTTGTGGGGCTCTAGCCAGGCTAAGAGTTCCATAAACACAGAGGAGAGCCAGTAGTAGACCAGTGGGGGAGGGTATTTGCAGGGCTGCTGGAGGGGGCACCAAAGGCTTCCTGCAGGAGGAGGGTAGGGGAAGTGGGAGGCTCTGGGGGATGCAGGATGGTGGCAGCTTTGGGAGGCATGGGTCCCCAAGGCACCCTTGTCACAGGACACTGTATAGATAGGGGCAGGGCAGGGCCTGACAGGAGCCCTGAGGGAGTGAACAGACGTGGATCTGAAGAGAAGACGAGTGACAGGATCTGTGATGAGAGTGCAGGGGGTACCTGTCTCGGGAATCCCTTCTTAGCTCCCCCTCAGGGCTGATCTGTAGGCTTTGGGGTCACTTACTTGGCCAAGGACCCCTGAGCCAGGAGCCTTGGGGCTAAGGGAGCCACCAAACCTGCATCTTATTGGGCTCCATCCCCAAATGAGGAAGGTCTGGAGAAGTTGAGCAACTCCACCTGGCTATACAAGCCTCAGCCTAACCGTGCCATGGGCCTCCCCACACTGGCATACCCCGAAAATCTGTCCAGTCTGTCCCCTCTCTTGGGAAGGCCTGCTGCATCTCCGATTGGGGCAGGAACCCAGCGGCCTGTCCTGCAAAGCCATGGACTGGTCATGTGTCCATGGCATGAGGCAGCTCCATGAGCACAAAGTGAGTCCAGAAGAGGGATGGGGCCCCAGCTGGGTGGGCTGGGCGGGGAACTTGGGGCTATGGCAGGTGATGAGGAACCCGGGTGGTGGGTGGGTGGGGCGGTGGGGGGGTCAGGCAGGTCTGTCTAGGAGCCCGTTCTGCACTCAAACCTCACGCCTTCCTCCACTGTGACACATCCTGACGTGCTCTTCCAGGCTGCTGGCCACTTTGGGTGCAACGTGAAAAGGCACCCGCTTCTGTGGCACCTTCTTTCACAGATAAAGTGGAAGAGGCATAGCCTCACCCTGACAGGCTGGTTCAGAGTCCGCACCAGGACCCTTAGATGCTGGCAGGGTCAGCCTACGGAAGCCAAGGAGTCCCCTGGGGCCCAGGTCTGAAGGCGGCCTCACTCAGGGCCTGTTTTTCATTGTCCTTGCCCGAGCCTGCGCTCAATCACGCTGCCATTCAGTCCCTGGGTCTCCCCTTGCCTGAACTAAAGGTGGTGAGGGGCTCTGGGGGCTACTGAGGGGCCTTGTTCCTCTCCAGCTCTGTACCCTGGACAGGCAGTCTGGAGAAAGCAGAGCTATGGCCTCCCCACCAGGTTCCTCAGGAAGGGTCCCAGCCCTGAGGGAGGCTGGGTGGGGCCAGTCTCGCCTGCCATGGCAGTCCTGGGTGCCCTCTGGTGGCCGTACCAGCTAGTCGCCGCTTTCCTAGAGGCTGTTGGCTCCTCAAGATCCACTGGGGCAGTGGGAAGAGCCTGACACAAGGTGGGGGAAGGGATGAGATGGGGATGAAATGGGTGTCCATCGCTCTGGGCTCATCTTCCTGACCTGTGAAATAAACCGAACTGTACAGCTGTCCCAGTCAGGAAAGCCCAATAAGGGATTCCTGACCCCATGTTCCCTCTGGTTACTCCCAATCCTGGGTCTCCTGCTGAGCAGCCCAAGACTTCATCAGTATCTTGATGGAAGCTGGTGGTAAAAAAACAGATGCCTTCCCCTGACTTGAGCCGCCACTGGGAAGTCCCCAGAACCCCCAATGGCCCCCTGGCAGCCCACAGGGCTTGCCCCACCCTCCCTCCCCCTGCTGAGGCCAGACCAGGTCACAGGGCAGATGTTAGGGACTGGCTAGGACTCTAGCATGCCTAGTGTCCTTGCCCCCCAGCTGTGTGTAGCTCTTGGCTCCCCTTGAAGGTGCAGGATCCCACTCTTCATGCCCTTCAGGCCTGACTCTTGGGGTGAAGTGGGTGTGGTGAATCTATCCTGAATCTTTATGCAGCACAAACAGGGATGGAAGTACAACCCTGCTTTCACAGAGCCTCAGAGATACAGAGACCTGAGGGGCCACCTCTGGAGGAGGCACCATGCAACCCCAACGTGGCATGGGTAAGCTAACTTAGCAGGACTGAGAGCTGGCCCAGTTTATCTGGGAGGGTCATGGACTGCAGGTACTTGTGTCTACGTAGAAAAGACTGGGAAGAAGAGCAGGGCAGGGGTTGGCTTGGCTGTGATCCTCCTTCCTAGGCCAGGACTAGAATCCTGAGCATAGTGAATGCTCTGTGCCCAGCCCTGCGCTGGGTGCCAGTGGACCATAGACTTGAGGGAGCAGGGGACAGACATGGTACTGTGGGTGGGACAGGGCAAGGTTGGGGGAAAGGATGCATTCCAGATTCACAGCCCTACATGCTGTGGCCAGACCCAAGGCCTGGACCACCTACTCAGGAACTACTGGCCATGGGCCCAGTATACTGTGTAGAGAGTTTTGACTGTCTCCTGTGTCCAGCACCATCCCAGATCCGGAGATACACTGAACACAAGACAGGCAGGACCTGCTCTGGACCAGCAGACCTTTGGTGGTGGCTTGCATCTCAAGTGGAGGCAGGGGGAGGGGATGGAGGCACTCAGTCCACCCTTGGTGCATGTCCTCATGGGGACAGGTTGCCCTCACAGGCACTAAGCTGCTCATCTCCCAACCCCCTGGGTTTATAAATCCTGACTTGGTGTGTGTCCTGCACAGTAATGCAGGTGACAACTGGAACGGGTGTGAGAAAGGAGTAACCACCTGAGGTTGCACTGAGAGCCTAGCCCAAAGGATGAAACACTGTTGGGGTGATTCTTTTCTCTTGTTTCTAAACATGCCTGCGTCTAGAGGGAAAACAGCCAGAGTCCCTGAGCTCCGTTTTCAGTGATAACTTACGCACAAGTTAGAAACAGTGACATGTTTTAAGTACCCAACATTTAATTAAACATTAAAATGGGAAGGCTTGGGATCTCAGGCTGCCTGCCCTGCGGCCACACCTCAACAAACCCAGGCTGAGTACCACCCCGACTGGGGAGAACCCACCTCTGCCGGGGGCCCGGTGTCCCACCGAGGGGACCCAGGGGTGGCGGAACAGGGGGATCCCCGGTCAGGGCGGCCCCGTTCAGGGCACTAGGCAGGGACTCCGGGCGGCATCCCCTCCCTCGTCCTCTAGGCGGCGGGAGCAGCGGGAGCGGGGACATCCCCTTGGCCCCGCCGTGCCCCAGCGGGTTCCAGTGGCGCGCCGCCCCAGTAAAGTTGCCCGGCCCCGCCGCCCCTGGGGCCCCCGGAAAGTTCCCGTGACTGCCGGATCCCAGCCGCAAGGCGCCCGGCGTCGCGCAGGGCGGTCAAGGCTGCGGGTTCCGGCCGCGTCTCGGCGGGGGCGCGCGGTGCGGGGCGCCCGGGCAGGCCGCGCACAAAGGGACCCGTCCCCGTGGTCCAGGGTCTCGCGCACCGCGGCGCGGGCTAGGGGCAGGTGGGGCGGAGCCCGGCTCCTTCCCCGGCCGCGATACCCGGCCGGACTTCGATTCCCCGCTCAGGAGCCCACCTAGACGCCGGCCCCTGCTGGACCGCAACCTGGATCCCGTCCGGGACCTCTGGCCTCGTCCCAATCCCGGCCTTGACCTCCGGACCCCGCCCCCCGGCCTGAGCCTACCTGGAGCGCGGCGTGGGCGGCCCCGCAGCGTGGCCCCCGCCCCCAGACGGGCGTCCCCGGGTCTCTCGGCGCACCCGGCACGGCGTCCCCAGGGCGCGGCGGGGTTAGCGGTCCGCGGGGCCTCAACTTGGGCCGGTGCGGGGGCGGACCCCTCCTGGGCCCAGCGTGCAGCCCCGGGGCCAGCCCTCCCCGCCCCTCGCGCGGCCCGTGCGCAAAGCGGGTCTGGCCGGCTACGCGACCCTCCGCCCCGCCCCATCCGAACGCGAATTTTCCCATTGGCCGGGAGACCCAGGGCGGCCCGGCAACCGGCGCCGATTGGACGGGCGCTGGGAGACGCCGGCTTGCCATTGGGCTCCCGGGGTGTCCGTCCCGGACGACGACCGGCCCCTTCGTGGAGTGGCCGAGGCCCCGGCACCTGCCGGGACCGCTGCGGCGCGGCCGGGGCCTCGGGCCGCCCCCCCTCCGGCCGCGTTCGAGGACGTCCCCAGACCGTCCGGCCCCGAGCGGGGATTGGCAGGCCCTGCGCCCCTTCCCGGGACTCCAGCCTGGCTGCCTCCTTCACTGCCCCTAGCTCACTGGGATCCTTCTCAGGCGTCAGCAGTTCGCCCGGGTGCTGCGCGCCGCGCCCTCCTGTCAATATCTAATTGTGTTCTTCACACAATCCGCGAGGGAGAGTTCTGCCGCCTTCCCATTTTACAGATGGGAAATTGAAGCTCAGAAAGGTTCTCACTTGCTTTAGGTCTCCGGGGCTGAAACCTAGTCCGTTACACTCCCGGGCCTGGGGCTTCTTTCTCCCTCGTCGCTCCGGGGTCCTCACAGAGAGGCGGGGCTCAGAGACCTTGGCTCAGCGACGCTGGATAGGGAGACGTGTTTCTGAGGGCAGAAAGGGCCTTTCGGTGAAATAGAGGTTTTCCTCCGGCACCAGGCCTGAATCTCCGGACACCTTGGCTCAGCCCACCCTGCAGGACTGCCACAGGACTGCCGTCCCTCATCTCCCCCAAATCACCACAGTCAGGGCCTGGGAGGGGGTGGGGGAGGAGTTTGTGTGTTTATCACCACCTCCTCTTCCTGGTGTCCCATTTCCTCCACCCTACCTGGGATCTTGGAGGAAACCTGTGGGGTGCAACCACCTGAGTAGAGTTTCGCACAGGTTGCATTTTTCTGCCCGGTGGAGAGCGGCCACCTGGTCCCTGCAGTGACACAAGGCACACATATATGACCACAAATGGGACCATGATCCTTGGCCAGCTCCACTTAACTTTGTGGTGTGTGTGTGGGGGGGCACCAGTGGGGGTGCTGCCCAGTGGGGCTTATTTCAGGGGGTTCAGGAGATGATGGCCCCTTGGCCAGTGACTCTGGCTCACGCTTAGTTCTAAGTCTTTCCTACCCTGGTTGCACCTGGAGATGACCAGATTCTCAGCCCACCATATTCCCCATGTCCACCCAGGGAGTCACAGGCCCATGACAGCGCTAATGGAGAGACCAGACATTCATGTCTTATCCACCCACATCAGGGATCCAGAGTGTTCACACCATAGTTGCTTGCTCGGAACAAAGAAAGTGAAGTGCTGTAGGGCTAGAACTCACCATTGGTACCACCATTGGGTCCCCCCTGTGGTACCTGGCGCACATAGCAAATCCACCCTAGCCTTTTGAAGCCAGGCTGCCACCACCAGTCAATTGGAGTTGGCACTTGAGATGAGAGCCGTTTGACACTCTGGCATAGTGATGTTGCTTGCGGCTCTGGGCAGATGGAACACGGTGTCCTTCTTTGGAACACAGGGGCCCCTATGAGCAAGATAGCTCTTGTCCTGTGGAGCTGCACCATTGGTGACATTCTGAGCCAGCGGCTGTGTGGGCTGAGGGGTTCTCTTCCCTCCATTAGGAGTGGATCTCATTAGTCCAACTGTCCCTACAGATTTCTCCAGGGGCATTGGACCCTGGTCTTCCTGGAGCCCTATTCTCATAGTGAGCTTGTGGTCCAGCATCATCCCTTCCCCCCACACTTGCTGATAGTGGCAGGAGGAGCCAGATAGACCTCTGGTGAGAGAGCAAAAGGAGAATTGTGCTCCAGAATTGGCCTAGGTGAGGACTGCCTCTCCGGCCCCCACTCCAGGCAGGATTCTGTCTCCCAGGCTGGATCACTAGCCACATACAGAGGAGTAAGGTGGACAGTATCAGTTCCAAGAGGACTCAAGGCCACTCTCTGGCAGTGGGCCCACCATGACCCAGGCTGTAGGTAGGGGTCAGGAACAGGGAACCCCTACAGTGTGACCAGTGGCACAGGGACCAGTAACCTAGTCTCTTCCCTCTCTCCCACCCTCTCCACCCAGCTGCGGGACAGTTCTGTGGGGACATCCTTGGGACATGTGAGCAAAGCTATAGGGACAAAAAGGTTTTAGCTGGAGGTCAGGAAGAACTTCTCAACAGCGGCAAATGTTCAGAGACCAGAAGGGTGACCAAATAAGGCAGTGAGCTCCCCAGCTAAGGATGTGTGAACTCTTTGCAGCCCTGAGACCCCAGGGGTCAGCTTCCCACCCCGACCCATCTTATCTGGTCTTATCTGCTCCCTAGCACTGAATGTTGTCAATTGGAGTCAACGAAGACAAAGACTATCAGAGTACCTGACATGGCTCCATCCAGATGGGGAGAGTGTAGCTAGAAGTGGGGCTGGCCCAGGGCCATATGCTTCTGTGGCAGACCAGGATTTGAACCTCTGTCCAACCCATGCATGACTGCATTCCTCTTTGCTAGCAACAGGAAAGCACCATTCTGTGTCCCACTCCCCTGAGGCATGTTGCCCAGTGGTTTGGGGCAGACCACTTTGCAACTGCTGCCTTGTACCCCAGGGTGTGGTCACACATGTCAAAGCCCCAAGTCTTCTTTTTTTTTTTTTTAAGATTTTATTTTATTTATTTGAGAGAGAGAGTGAGAAAGAGAGAGGGAGCATGAGAGGGGGAAGGGTCAGAAGGAGAAGCAGGCTCCCCGACAAGCAGGGAGCCCAATGTGGGACTCGATCCCGGGACTCCAGGATCATGACCTGAGCCGAAGGCAGTCGCTTAACCAACTGAGCCACCTAGGTGCCCCTCCCCAAGTCTTCTTATTTAGCACTATCACCTCTCGGGTGGACTGAAAGGTCTGGCTGCCCAGAGGGAAATCACTGGCACCAGCCCAGGAGGATTCTGCTGCTGGATGGTGGGAGGAAGGACCATGCATCAAGTTGAATCTGCTGCCTGCTGGCCGTGAGTCCTTGGATATCTGGAGTCCTCAGTTTCCATGTCTGTAAAGGGCTCCTATTGGGTTCCAGGAGGAACACAGAAAAGATGGCAAGAGAATTGGGTGGAATAGGCATTTGGGTGTGTCAGGGAGTTTTGGGATCCACTCTTGCCTTTGTTGATCACCAGTCAGGCCCTTTCCTTCTCTAAACCCGTTTTCCACAGGGCATCAGTGCTTTGAGTCAGGATCAGGACAGTAGGTCTTCACACAGGACTGTGGATTTAATCCAGCCACTGCCACTTGCTATCCTTTTTTTAAGTGGTGTAACTGCTCTGAGCTTCAGTGTTTGCATCTGTAAAATGGGGGGAATGACACCTGTGGACTGGGACCCTGGGTTTGGAGTGCTTAGCACATTGTTATTATCCTCAATGTAACTGTCATCCTTGTCCTAGTTTGCTGAGCGCCCACTTTGGAGTAGGCCCTGGGCCCTGGGCCTCTGACTCTCCACTTTCTCTGCACTTAGGCCCTAGACACAGCCTAGAGGACACTGAAGGCAGGGAGCCCAGCAACTGCCTCCGTCCTGTTGAAAGGCCCCCAGTCAGTGCCCCTTCCCGCCCTTTTGCTCACTTGCTCAAGCATTACAGCTGAGGGTGGGCCAACACTTCCTCCTACGGCCTGGACCTGCAAAACAGCGACCAAGTGGGCTCAAAGGCCACAGTGGCTGGGTGGGTCTGGAGTACCCGGTCCGGGGTCTGTCCCGAGTGTGGCAGGATTGCGGGGGGTAGGGGTGGTAGTGGGGGTTGGTGCAAAGGCCAGAGTAGCAGAAGCTGAACTGAACTGGGAGCCATAAAGAAAAGGGAGGGATGGCCAGGTCTACAGCCAGTGGGTGTGGAACAGGACCCAGCCTGAGAGGCGGGTCCGGAAGTGGGCATCCCCCTATCGCTCCCAGAGAAGGCCGCCAGGTGGTTTGGTGACCTATGGCCCCTGGAGTTCAGACCGCGGCCCTGATGGGTCCACGAAGGCATGCTCTTGGGGCGGCAGCAAGCGGCAGCGACCTCCCACGGGCGTCCTCCGGCGTGGGGAGCCGAGAAGCCTGGGAAAGCCGCGGGGGTCACGAGACCCCCAGACGCCCCCGCAGCCCCGAGCCTTGGCGCAGCCCTGGGGGCGGAGCGCCGGGAGGGCTGCAGCCCCCGAGTGACAGCGCGCCCAGCCAACGGTGCTCGGGGTCGCGGCGTGCCGCCCCGCCCCTGGCGGCGCAACCCAATGGCGAGCGCTCAGAGG